AGATGGAAAGCACAATAACATCTAAACCACAAATCTAAACTGTAATTTTTCAGTTTAAGCCCACCTCTGATGTCTTTCTCCTTTCCCAGTGATGGTGAAAACAGAAAAGTGAATACCTGCCATGGCTGCATCCTTTGATGTTGCAGCCTGTCTCCTCCACCCAACCTCAATGTCCACTTGGATCGGGATGAAGATGCAGCATGCAAGGCATGGGCCACAAGTTGTACACTGTTGTATGTGCTGAAGCTGCCTTGAGAAAGAGATCTCTCAACTTCCTCCTGGGACAGCCTCTCCAGTTCCTCTTTCTCAGTGCATGTAGTCCAAGCTCTCAGGGAGAAAACATGCTCTGAAGAAAAGGCATCATCCCAAAAGAAATAAATATCAGTTGATACTGGACTGTAGTAACAGCGTATTGTGCTTTTTGAGGGTTTAATGACAAAGGAGAATGAGCCATGGAAAACCAGGAAGTCCACAGGATCCAGCAACAAATTTGTGTCCTGAGTCACTGTTGTGATCCACACTTTGGTCCCAGCCTGCTCCTTTTCAAGTATGCCATGTACTGAAAAGCAGCTGTAGTAAGAGTCTGCATAGTAAAGAGTCACATTCACTTGTCCCCACTCAATAGCTACTTCATGCCGAGACATTCTGAGTATGCTTTTCCGTGGCAGCCTTTTTGTGAAGGCAATGCATATTGCATGACTGATCAATAAAGGGGTCAGGGCATTCAGGAACCTCTCCCCATTATCAGTGTCTCGGGCAAACAGACCAATCCACCTCCACTCAAATAAGCGAAGCAGCTGGACAATGCCCAAGTGGAGGGTTTCTTCCTTCGGGGCCATACGGTAGACAAAAGGAAATTCCATTTTATCATCAAGAGCAGGATCAATAAAGCCATAACCGATCTGAGAAAGGGATACAGAGGCTGTTGTTTTCTTTTTGCTTTTGTTCTTCTTGTACTCTTGGGCCTCCTGCTGCCGAATGCCAAGTCAGCTCAGAAGACCTCTATCATCCAGGACTTGATTATGGATGAGGAGGTTGACCTTGCTTGCATTACTTAGACTGGGTGAAATGCGAGGATCACTCTCTCTCAACTGTGCCCTCCTGGGTACTCAGAACACCATCAGGATCAGGTATTGGGCTGGGAAGATGAGGTGGCCCTGTTCTATAGGAAAATGATCTCCCTCTCTACGTTTCCTGTTCACTTGAGTGCTGCTCTGGAGTATTTTTACCTTGTGTTGGGTTCTGCTCTCCATAATATTCCCTGCAAGAACTGATGGAGGTGGTCCCAGAGTTTGTTTTGAGAATTCCCGTGATGATTGTTCTGGGGGATGCCAAGGTGGCTGAGGACTTCATGACTGCCATGCAACCATAGAGCTGTCTCCACATGCTATTGGACCCTCCTTTAATCTGGTTTTCTTGACTAGGCAGAAGGATGATGATCTGCAAGTGGGGGAATTAACATCAAGCCCTTGACATGGTCAGTTCACTTCCTGCTGAGGCTTAGACTTTCAATGGCTCAGGAAGTTGACACAATCACACCCAAGCACCCTCTTGAGCAGAACCCAGTCAACTCCTTGGCACACTCCTAAATTGAGGGCAAGGAAGCCAGAGGAGAGATGGCTAGAGCACAGCAGGAGGAAAACATGTGCCAAGTTAGAGCTCATTATCAAACCAGTCTGTGGTCTTGAGTGTGTCAAAGTTCCAGTTCTTTTCCACCACAAATGAATCTTCTCATTGTCATCCAGCAGAGCTTTCCAAGTGGTTCACAACTTATCATATTGTGGGGCAGAAGAATAAATTGAAGTGGCCTCAGTTGCTTGCTACAATTAATTTGCACAGCACTTTGAAGACGAAAGTCATATAGATGCACCATGAATTGGACACTGGAATTGAGAGAGTTCCTCTAGTGGAAGCATCCAGAGCACCATTTCGTCAAGTTTCATTCGATAAGCTCCAGATATTTAGGACAAAGAAAGTGGACAAGCTTCTTGGTCACCTGCCCTGAACACCTCCAGGATCCTTTCTCCAGGGATGCTTCAGGGATCTTGCCGAAGCATCTGATGAAGCTCTTCCTATGCTGGTTGCACTGGTGGGCAAGAAGCATCACACCTCAGATTCTCAGCTGAGCTCAGAGCAATATTCTTACCTTGTAGTCAGGGAGCTGAGCAAACCTGGAATAATCCAAATGCTGTCTGGCAACTGCAGGGTTACTAACTTATACTGTTTTAGCTTATGACTTCTACATTCCTTAACTTCTTCCTATTGGAATAGTTGAGATTGTGAAAGTTAATGTGGTATTACATCGCATTTCAAAGCACCACAAATCATTTGCAACAAACAGTGCAGTTGACAAATTTCTGCAATGGGTGAAGGTGCTTTGGACTAAACTGAGGCAGTGCTGAGCTGGATTAAAGGGGAGCTGGCCTCCTCTGCCTGTTCCTACCTGAGAGATCTTGTACATTCCCGTCATGGCTGAAATCAGGATGGCAAGGTGAGATTCAGTCCCTTCCAGAGTGGCCAGTGGGTTTTTCCCTCTCCCACAGCTGTAATTGGGAAGGTGGCTTTTCCCACCAGCAGGCAGGCCCAGCATGGCATAAGTTGTTCTCGCATCGACATGGCTCTCGTAGATGCTGTAGCCCAGGGTGATGTTGGTTAATATTTGGGGATTCTGGTTGATCTCCTGCATGGCAAAAAGGAAGGCCAAGATCTTCCAGTATCTCAGAAGGAAGAAACTGTGAAAAGAGAAAATGGCATAAAAATAATTTGGTCATTGTGTGATGCTACTTAGATTTCTAATCGCTTTAAAACAACAAGAACATCGCCATGGTGTAAAGCAAGATTTGTGATGTTCTTATGGAACAGAAAAATTCCCTAAAAGAATTTATGCCCAAATGAAGAGACTGAAAAGAACATGGAGTGGCATGAATGACATGCAACCTGATTTGAAGGGATCGTAAAAGGTGTCCTGAAATAACACTAAGGTTAACAATGAAGAACTATTTAAGTCCATCAAAAGAAGAACCTGGATGTGGACTCAGTTGCACAGCTTTGAGATGGACCGAGTTCTCCAGACAAAAGGAGGATAATGAGATTGAAGAGAATCTAAAAGAATTCTTTTCCCGTGTTTACTCTGCAGACAAGGTAGGACAGATTCTTCAACTTGGAACGACGCTTTCAGGAAGAGTGTCTGAGGAGCTGTAGCAAACAGTGATAATTTTCATCAAGTGTATGGATGTTTCACTGGACAGCAAGGTCAAGAGCATCCACACTACTGCATTTCTGATCAGCATGATGGTTTTGATAAATGGAGGAGAGCACTGTGAATACTCTGTACTGAGATTAAGCCAGACAAATGGGTCCTAGAGCATGTCAAGCCAGAGCAGAAATGATCAAACAGAAGACGTTGTACTTTGGGCACATGATGAGAAGGCCAGACTCCCTGGAGAAAAAAATCATGCTAAGGATAGTCGAAAACAGGAGATGAAGATGATACCCAACTATGAGATGGATTGAGTTCATACAAGATCCTATGACCTTGAGTTTAAAGGGACTGAGCAAAGGTCTTAAGGAGAGAACATTTGCAGGGCTCTCAGACATATGGTTGCAATAAATCAGAAATAGTTTGATGTCACATAATGACAACAACATAACAATGACAATAACATGGCACAGATAATCAAGGTAGAAGTCCCTGGAGACACATCCCATTCCACCAATTCTAGAGGCAGTTGCATAAACTTCTTTGCACCTTCAAAGCATATACAAAATCTAACTGGAAATGATCTTGAGGCCTTCTAGCAAACAACAGTGGAGGACAGACCTACCTTTCACCAGCACTTTCATTCCCCTGATGCAGCATTTTGTCCTTGCAATAGCAGTATAAGACTATTGGTCCTTAGTTTAGTTGAGACCTTCCCAAAAATGTATGTCAAACTAAGACTGAGAAAGCTTAAAATCCCTTTTCCTCTTCAAAATCTTTGAGGCTAATGTTTTTAACCAACACGTTGGTTCTCACGCCAAGGCACTTTGCCTGGGAATCCACTCCCCTCAACTGCTCCTGAAATTTCTCATGATGCATTTCATTCTACCTACTTCAGAAAAGCTGGATACAAATTCATCCAGCTACTTTTTCTACTTAATAATGGGCAGGTAGCCGTGAGTCAGAGATGACTTGCAGGGTCAAAACTGCAAAAAATGTTGGGAATGGAGGAGGAAACTGTGCCATGCCTGCAGGTGTGAACTTCACCCCACAGAAGAACCACTGGAGCTCCAGCCTAGGTTGCCTCGTGGAGGTTGAAGCAGGAAGTCCTCTCTCCTATTGGTTGACACTCGACAAGCAATGGCCAGGCATAGGCAAGCTTGTGGTCTGGGATGCTGCCCTGGTGTCCACAAAGCTCCTTGTTTTCCTTTTGACATCACAGGAGAGAAAAGCCTAAGTAGGGAATTTCTAAGGATGAGGATCAAACCGCAAATAGGTGTGGTCTCCATGTGATGGGGATAATTCAGTGCAGGTGGGAAGCATGGAATCCATTTGACTCACCATTTGACCCTGTTCAAGGGGGACTTGAAAAAGACGTATGGCTGCTGCTGCTGGAAAAACTGGGAAGAAAGGATTTTGCTCAGCAGGTGGTCTCCTGGCCAGTGATACAGGAATGCTCCATCCCCAAAGGGCAGGGACACTCTCTCCCCAGCTGTGTCAGGCAGCAGCAGAAGAAGCAGGAACAGCAACATCATGGCTTTGCTGGACCACAGGGGATGCCTTGCAGCGGCTCCCATTGTCTGCACTCCCAGATCATCGAGACAGCCAGGAAGCTCTTGCCTCATGGCTTCCCTTTGGCTCTCACCTGGTGTGGAATGTCACTGTGTAAAGAAACACCTTTGCACCTACACTGACTGCTGGGCAAAGCAGGGTTTCGTAAAATTTCCTCAGAGCCTCTTCCCTATATTTTCCAGCCTGCACTATTGCTCATCCCAAGCCCTCGGTAGCGCTGCTGTTGTCATATGCACTGAGCTTCTCAGGTGCAGTGCAAGCGCTTGCCTGACGTAGGTCTTGATTTTGAAGATTTGTCAATTAGTCTCAGAAGCAATCCCAAGAATCTCTCAAGGGCTTTGGCAGGAATCAAAGACAATCACCATGTCTGTGAACACCCCAAGTGATGGAAGCCTCCTCTCCGCACCTGGACCCACTCTGTGCCCCCAGGTCTCATGGCAGGGACAAAGAGAATCATGTTTGTGAGTCCTCTGGGATGTGGCTTCATCCTTTGGAAATGTGGGAGGGGAAGCAGATCTTGACCTGACCTGTTCTGGAGAATCTCCAGGAAAAGAGTCTGGAGAAAGGACATCTTTGGAGATGGGGTCCAAAGAAAGGAAAAAAGAGGCCCTTGGATTACAAACATTTATTAAACAAAATGGAAACCTGGTCCTTCCCCTTCCTGTCCTCCACATTCTCCTCATAATCCTGCAATCTGGGTCAGGAAAACCCATTCTTGCACTCTGATGTGCTGCCCAGTGGCCCTGAGTCTGAGCTCCTGCTGACCATGCTCAGCACTGGCAGGCTACTCACTAGGCATGCACCCCCATCTGCTACACAAGCAGCATCCCCTTCTTGCACCCTGCTCACAGGTCAAATTTCTGCCATGTGTGGTGCAGAATAGGGATGCTGCTAGTAGTCCCTCA